TATATACTCTCTAATGCAGGGGTCCCTAGAGAACCCTTCGCTATATATACCTGAATAAAAATCCTAGCTCCCAAGAGTGTAGACGTTAAAAAAAAAATATATATATATATATAAAAAAAATTAATACTTATACCAAACTTATGACTAATGAAAATGAAAAACTTGTTGGAGAAAGTAAAGAAGATAACTACAAGTAACGGTTTTTACAGAGGTTAAGGCTTTCTTGATTGTTTTCTTCTAAACTCCTCAGTATATTCAGCAAGCAAGTTAAAAGTGTTCTTGTACAAGATAACTGGCAGAAGGTAATGCCCTTGTATAAAAAATTTTAATAGAAGCATAGCTTCTGCTGACAAAGTAAAAGATAATTGATCTAAAGGGAAACAACAAGCAAGTTTTCAACACACTCCCTATCGAAGTTTAAAACTACCCACAAACTTAAACCTTTTACCAAAACCTCACTCTCTGTTTTTTATGAAATTTCATCCAAAAGTAGAAAATCTGATATATCCTCATCAAAGGATCAACAATAACAATCACTGCTAAAAAAGAAAAATCACGTACAGGAGTACATGACTATTTTTGGATAAAAAATATTTGATCAGTTATCTCAAGAGGTTGTGGTGTTTATACTGAAACTGCCAGAAAATAGAAGACATCAGCAGTTGTCAACTTTACACAAGAACAAGTATAAATACAAGATTGCATTGCAGGATATCATGCTGAAAACCTGGTGGGACTACAAGAGAAATTTCAAACTTGGATCTCTATTCAAGAATAGATATTTTATATATCCTAATATAGACATAAATAACTAGTATAGAGTTTAGACTAGTTTATTTAGTAGTATTATATAATTTTTACAATTCGGTATGGGTTTAATAATACTATTTTTGTTTTCTTTTCTTTTATTTTGTTTTTTCTTTTATATATTATTTTAGTTTTTTTTGTTTGTTTAGGTGGATCGAATCTGGATATTGAGATATCATCTCTTTTTTTTTTTTTTGCTCTTTAAATTTGTGTCTGTATTTCGCTTTGTAAAAAGAAAAGATAATACTAATACTGCATGTAGTACTGGCCAATGATCAAAAGATTTATGTCACTAAAAAGTTAAAGGCCTGGAAGAAGGCAAATAGCCACTAGGTGATATCATATCTAGACTTTTAAGTCAAGTAAGTCACTTGTTGTAGTTAAAGAAAAAATAACTATAGTTAAGAATTCTTGTAATTTTTGCTTGGTTAATATCATAATAAAACAGTAGCAAGACATGCCAAAAAAAAAAAAAAAAAAAAAAAAATTACATGAGATTGTCTAAGGCCAAGCATGTCACGAGATTACCTGATAGTCACCTGTTACCTTAACCAATCAAAATCGTGAAATTTGATTAATCCCGGATCAGTCCGGAAATCGCCCTTTTAATATGGGACACTCCATCTCGGATTAATATGCCTTAACGTTAACTATAATCTTAACATGTTAACATGAAGTATAGTCCTAACCCTGATCTTAACTATTTGCAAATAGTGTAACGTATAAATATACATATGTCATGCGCTTTTCTTTTTTAAATCCTACATAACTTCTTTTGTATTGTCACAAACTTATCGTATCGGTCGGTCAGACGTTCCAGAATTTATGTACCCGGTATCGGGTTTGGTTTTATCCGAATTAAACAGATCGGAAATGTCGGAAGACAAAGACCCCATATTTTTGACCAATCCTGATTAACGATAATCACGAAACGAGGCATATAAAAACAGGTTACAATTCTTTTACCGTTACCGATTAAAACTCTTGAGATGGAGGATCCACAACCTTCAAGATTTGACGATATAAATTCTGAAAACCAGAGATTTAGTGGCGAGGTCTGTTTATCATTTATGTGCTTATGCTCATTTATCCAAATGTCTTCATTGTTTAGTGTTGACGCGATTGAATTTGTAGTTTTCCTTTAAAGATTTTAAAGATCCAAAAAAAACTTTTAATGAAGATGAAGTTAAAAGTATTGTAAAAGAGGCTTGTATAAAAGTTACCCTGCATATGATGACAGGTTACTTTTATTTTCTTCTAACCAACGTTTATAAAATAAAAAAATAGATGGTGGAAGCTACAATATTACCAGATTCCGCGTACCTTCATAGCAGAATATCCCATTGGAGTGCTACTATTGTGGAAAATACGGTAAAAAAATTAGCAGCCTTGAATAAATCAATCAAGTATATCGGTAATTAATTTCATATTCAAATAATTGTACAATGTCATTTGGATTACGGCTACGTACTAATATTTTTTATTTTTCGTTAGTGACTTGTACTATTTTTGAAAAGAATGGCGCAGGTATACATGCTACTACCACTTGTCATTGGGATAGTAAACATGATGGTGAGTGATTTCAAATAAAATACGTATTATTAAACTAGTATATATGTGTATATATATTTACTATTATAATTATCTACAATATTTAGGCAGCACCACGTACAGACATGACACCAATAGTATGTATATTATCGTCAATGTTTGGGGATTGAGTGTATAAGCATTTATCATATGAAGAAGTTCATTCTTTTAGCAAATGGTTATATTTGTCTTTAGAAGGTGTTTATTATGAGTAAGATTATTTAATGGGAAAATTTTATTATGATATAATCGAAATTTCCATATAGATTGTGTATTTATTTATTAAGTGTTGTAATTAAAATATTGTGGAATTATTCATCAAACAAGTGTAAAATCATGATGAATGAGGGTTATAAGAACATTAGACCTTTCTCTTCAATCCTACGAAATCGATCTTTAACTCTCCTTACACGTATAAGCACACATACGGCAAGGATCGTAAGTATATATAACGCTATAAATGCGAATAATGATGTAAATATCTTGCGGGCGAATACATTAACTGAAGTTATTAGTGGAATTCCGCAGCCCGCAAGCGATGTTGCATTAGCACTTTGTAGATCAGGGCACATTTTTGATACGGCCCCATAATCTAATGGATACTCCCATCCACAGCAAGTGAACTATATAAAAAAAATATATATTTAGCATTAGAATAAAGCGATTAAATAAGTAACATCACGGATGATGCCGATTTTGGCCGATGTTGACGTTCACGTGATATATAAAGCAAAATTAACTACGCCAGTATCGCCAACAAATCACCAATAAAATTTTCACGAGCACGTGGTGATCGACAAAAGTCAGCCAATAATAAATTATGGGTTGGTGTAACGTAACACGATCAGAAAAATTCAAAAACAAAAGAACATACTTTTGTGCTTTAACAAAAAGTTTTCTTTGAGCGATTTTACTATAAAACTACCTTTATCTAATATAAACCCTAACC